ATGATTCACGTATTGCTCTTCAGATACCTACTTGCTGGTTTCTATGGTGATCTTGTAGACCAAAAATTATAAAAGCAGCACAGTTAGTGACACCTTTGAAAAGCCAGTGTGGAGGGGATAGAGATGATGGTGACTCAGGTCATCAAAGGGAAGAGGGTTTCACATACTTGGCGATGAAGCGTTTGTCTCTTACCAACGCGCTTTTTTGTTCTTAGTAGAAGAAAATCTTTTTGTGTTTTTTCTCTTGCATCTTTTTTTTTCTATTTTCGTTTTACCTATAAGCACTATTGAAATGAGTACTGCTTCCTACATCCTTGTCACTTCATAGGGAAGGCCTGATTCAAACTGTGAAACTTGGGTTTATAACAATCAAATTTGGATGTTCCACATTTTAAATGATTCGTGGGGTTGAAAGAATTAAAGAATTGATTCTAAACCAAACTACTTTTCACCTAAGAGTATCTTTTAAAAAGTTAAGTCTACTAGGGAAATGCAGTGAATCATTGCAGTATTTTGACACTTAATGGCAGCTTTTTAAGTTACATCAATGTCTTGATTTTTTTCCCCCGTTTCTGTAGTTTTACCTGTTCTTTAGAAAGTGATGTGCATTGTTAATAGTCTTTTAAATTTTGCAGTACTTGAAACTTTCCCAAATTGTTCTCTCATTTTGTCCTTTATAACCACCCTATGAAGGCAGTGAAACAGACATTTCACTTCTGCTAAATTACAAGTATGAAACAGCGGGGGGAGGGACTGAGTCACTGGTGGAAAAAAACACAAAATCACTTGCAAGTCCAGCCGGAATTGTAACCCGAGTTTTCTCTCCAGAGGTTTTTGCATCTTTAATTAATTTTCCCCTTTTCTTTTTCATTTGTTGAGTTTTTTTTTTTCTTCTCAAACTTTACCAGACTTACTCTTTTATTTTCCCAAGATAAACAGCCCTCACTGCCCTTGAAAATGTGCCTGTGTTGGAAAGATAAAATAATTTGGGAAGGAGAGAATTAAGCAGGAAAGTATATTGGTAATTTATGCTAAATGATCAAAAAGTTAATTACCTTTAAAGTTTCAATTCGTTGTTATGCAAGTAATTGTGTTCTCGAAGAACTTTTCTAACTGGTTACTGAATTTTTTTTTGAAAGTGCAATTTTGAGTTGGTTTTCCTGATGCGGAAGGTGGGAAATAGCGATAATTTTTTAAGTGGCGTGGTTTTCATCTATTGTACTTACCTTTTTTTTTTTTTTTAAATTTCTTTTTGTTTCTTTGCCTGAATATACTTTACTGCTTTTTACAAACAGAAATCAAGGCAGGTAAGAGTTAAGCCATTTTTCCAAAGAGTCCCCATTCATCGCTGTTCTTAGCTCTAACAGTAGTGAACCTCTGTTTCTGAAGCACATTACACAGAGCTGTGCTTTTATTTACATCCCACCCATGATTACTTAGTTTACAGCATGCAGACATTTGGAAGGATACTCTTAATAATATGTAGTCAATTTGGGGGCTCCTGGGTGGCTCAGTTGGTTAAGCGACTGCCTTCAGCTCAGGTCATGATCCTGGAATCCCAGGATCAAGTCCTGCATTGGGCTCCCTGCTCAGTGGGGAGTCTGCTTCTCCCTCTGACCCTCTCCCCTCTCATGCTCTGTCTCACTTTCTCTCAAATGAATAAATAAAATCTTAAAAAATAAATAAATAAAATGTAGTCAATTTTTAGGTGCGTAGATTTTTGTTTCAGTGTTCATATTGTAGGGTGCCCTTAGAATATATACTAAGAGTATGAAATTTTACTTTGCTGATAGACCGAAAATTACAGTTTTAGATTGCATATCATCAGAAAGGCATCTGAAGTTAAAACTTAAAAAGGGGTGTTTTGGGGTTCTCCCTTTTATTGTGTGTCTGTCTTTTTGCTCTAGGTGTTTCAGCAGCTCAGGTCTAAAGGAGGTTTCCAGGGCAGTGTTGTGTATGTACACAGCTTAAGGGAAGTATAGTAGACAAATGAACGGAACAGTATTCCCCTAGCTTTAATGAATTCTTGAACAAAACAGCGATTCCCACCAGAACTTTCCAAATAACTTCTTGCTTCAATCAATAAGGATTCAGTACATAGTAACAGCAGTTTAATTTCTGAGCCATGCGGTGTTTATCTGTCCCTAAAATGAAACATGCAAGTTGACATAATAGACCCACGCACCACAAAGCGGCTTAGTCTCCATTCAGGCCCTGCCTGTGTGGTTGGTTCTCTGCGATCTTGCACCTGTGTCTAAGCCCCCTCCATGGTCACCGAGTGGTGATGGTCACCACCTCTTGAAAGAAGTCATCATCAGGCTGAGGAAACCCAGGTTTGCACAGTCATTTGCATCACTGAGCTGTGTGTGGACCTGACAGTTGTTTTGTTTGTTTTTATGCTTCAGGCAATTTTGTTTTCATGTTTCTCCCCCGCCCCTGCCTCCCACCCTCACCCTCTAGACCATGGTCCCATTCATCATTCTGTTTTTGGAACCGTGTCCTAAGTACGTTACCTTAAACAGAAATGGCACTTCCCTTCTACCACCTAGTTCCTGCCTGTATGCCTAGCACCCATTCACTGCCCTGCTCTCGAAGCTGTTGTGATAATCACTATCTTGTACTTCCCTTATAATTCATCTACCACTTCATCCCTCTAGCAGGCCTTCCCTTGCTTTCTTCCTTTCTCTCCTGGCTAACTCTTACTGAAGATTCTAGACTTGTCTTAGGCATCCCTGCCTCCAAGAAGTCTTCCCAGAGCTTTTTTTGGGTCATTATCTCTGTCTCTCCCTTAAATTTTTTAAAAAATAGCTTTCTAGAGATACGATTCTCATGCCATACACTTTGCTCACTTAAAACAGACAAGCCAGTGGTTATTAGTATATTCATAGATATGTGCAATCATCAGCACAGTCATTTTTAAAATATTTTTATTGTTATGTTAATCACTATACATTACATCATTAGTTTTTGATGTAGTGTTCCATGATTCATTGTTTGTGCATGACACCCAGTGCTCCATGCAGAACGTGCCCTCTTTAATACCCATCACCAGGCTAACCCATCCTCCCACCCCCTCCCCTCTAGAACCCTCAGTTTGTTTTTCAGAGTCCATCGTCTCTCATGGTTCGTCTACCCCTCCGATTTCCCCCCCTTCATTCTTCCCCTCCTGCTATCTTCTTTTTTTTTTTTCTTAACATATAATGTATTATTTGTTTCAGAGGTACAGATCTGAGATTCAACAGTCTTGCACAATTCACAGCGCTCACCATAGCACATACCCTCCCCAGTGTCTATCACCCAGCCATCCCATCTCTCCCACCCCACCCCCCACTCCAGCAACCCTCAGTTTGTTTCCTGAGATTAAGAATTCCTCATATCAGTGAGGTCATATGATACATGTCTTTCTCTGATTGACTTATTTCGCTCAGCATAACACTCTCCAGTTCCATCCACGTCATTGCAAATGGCAAGATCTCATTCCTTTTGATGGCTGCATAATATTCCATTGTATATATATACCACTTCTTCTTTATCCATTCATCGATGGACATCTTGGCTCTTTCTGCAGTTTGGCTATTGTGGACATTGCTGCTATAAACATCGGGGTGCACATACCCCTTTGGATCCCTACATTTGTATCTTTGGGGTAAATACCCAGTAGTGCAATTGCTGGATCGTATGGTAGCTCTATCTTCAACTTTTTGAGGAACCTTCATACTGTTTTCCAGAGTGGTTGCACCAGCTTGCATTCCCGCCAACAGTGTAGGAGGGTTCCCCTTTCCCTGCATCCCCGCCAACATCTGTCATTTCCTGACTTATTAATTTTAGCCATTCTGACTGGTGTGAGGTGGTATCTCACTGAGGTTTTGATTTGGATTTCCCTGATGCCGAGCAATGTTGAGCACTTTTTCATTGTCTGTTGGCCATTTGGATGTCTTCTTTGGAAAAATGTCTATTCATGTCTTCTGCCCATTTCTTGATTGGATTCTTTGTTCTTTGGGTGTTGAGTTTGATAAGTTCTTTATAGATTTTGGATACTAGCCCTTTATCTGATATGTCATTTGCAAATATCATCTCCCATTCTGTCGGTTGTCTTTTGGTTTTGTTGACTGTTTCTTTTGCTAGCACAGTCATTTTTAAGAGCTTTTCATCACCTTAGAAAGAAACTCTATACCCTTTAGCTATCACCTCCCTATACCTTAGCTCCCTTCCAAGCCCCAAGGAACCACTAACTTACTGTTTCTATAGATTTTCTTATTCTGGACTTTCATAAGAATAGCATTTAATATATAGAATTTATGTTCTATATATTAGTAGAAGTAGAAGTTATGTTCTATATATTAGTAGAAGTTCTATGTATTAGTAGAAGATTTATATTCTATATATTAGTAAAAGATTTATATTCTATATATTAGTAGAAGATTGGCTTCTTCTGCTTAGTGTATTTTCAAAGTTCATCCAAGTTGCAACATGTATCAGTTCTGCGTTCCTTTTTCTGGCCTAGTAATATTCCACCGAATGGTTATAGCACATCATATTTATCTGTTCATCTGCTGATGGGTATTGGAGTTGTTTCTACCTTTTGGCCCTTATGAGTAATGCTCCTATGGACATTCATGGACAAGTTTTTGTGTAGACATATGTTTTTATTTCTCTTGGATTTTTATCTAGAAGTAGAATTACTGGATCATGTGGTAGCTCATTTTAATGATCTGAGGAACTACCAGCTTGTTCCAAAGCAGCTGCACCTTTTTACATTCCCATTAGCAGTGTAGGAAGTTTCTAATTTCTTAACATGTTTGCAACTCTTGTTATTATCTGTCTTTTTGATTCTAGCCATCCTAGTAGGTGTGAAGTTGTGGTTTTATCTCCTTTTGATTTTTTGTTTGTTTGTTTTCTCAGTACCCACACATTGCTTTCCAGTATGCAGTGGACACTCAAATGTTGATTGGACTTGATTGAATGTGTTATAAGAGCTGTCATTTCATTTTTTATTTCAGCAAGTGCCCAGCAGGCACCTGTGATGGATGTACATTCTATTTTCTGTGGGAGAGTGCTGAAGCTTGCCCTCTGTGCACAGAGCATGACTTCCATGAGATTGAGGGAGCCTGTAAGAGAGGATTTCAGGTAAGGGGAAAATCCATCTAAGCAGAGCTATGTGATTAAAGAGAAATTGATTAGTCTGGCATCACTTACATCACAGAAACTCAGGTTCAAAACCATGGCTAAAGCTTATAGTTAACTTGGTGTTACTTAATATGCATTTAAAATCAAGTTTGGTAGGTGAACTCCCACATGCTGGGGTAGCTCAAGGTGTGCACTGGCATTGGGGAAAATAAATTGTGCAAGGAGTTGTAGGCTATGGATATTTACCTGGATTATAAAGAAATGGTATCATTAAACCAAGATGTGATTTATATAATGCACTTGTAGGTATAATTAAGATGGGGATGGTATAAATGATTCACTAAAGCACACCTAAAGAGTAGAGCATGTATCTCAACATCAGGTCTATCCCATCCTGATGACAGTTTTCAGAAATCTCATCAGAATCTGATTCTCTGATGCCAGTTCCCCAATAAGGTTACCACCACCAGTGGTTACATTTAATGTATTTCCCTTGTCATTAAATTTTTTTGAAAACATGATTCTATTATATATATTCTGGGATTTAATAACTCCCCTGTTGGACGTTTGAGAAAAATTTAAGACGTCTTTTTATAAATAACTCTGTAATGAATATCCTTGTTGGAAATGTGATTATTTCCTTAGATTTTATTATGAGAAAAAAGATTAATTGGATCTAAGGAGATGGACATTTTTAAGGTTCTTGAGACATGTTACTAACTTGCTTTGGCGGTATCATTTTGCCCTCCTGCTAGTCTGAGAGTGCTTAGCTCACTGTACTAGCCTTGAGGAATGCCATATGAAAAACACAAACTTTTCCTCCTTCAAGATGACTTCCTACTTCAACCTCTCTGAATTCTATTGAAATGACAAGAAAAAAACACAAATGATAACACGTCACTGCTAGTGGTGGTAACCTTAGTGGGGAATTGGCATCAGAGAATCAGATTCTGATGGGATTTCTGAAAACTGGGATGCAGATGGAATAGGTCTGACGTTCAGGTTGCCTGGAGTGGGGAGCATGCTAGAAGGCTTGTGGCAAGAAGGGATCAGAGAGGGAGCACTATTCTGTCTGAGAAAGTCTGGAGGAGCATGTCATTGGCAGGTCAGCGGGCAGGAGTACAAGAAGAAGTCAGAATACCCTACCTCATCGCCAACATTTAGAGTGTTAGTAGCAGTAGCCTTTACCTCTAGGAAAAAACCAGAGAACTATTCTCTACGTAGGGATTTTTCAAACTTTAATGACAGTGAACCTATAGTAAGAAATACATTGTATAGCAAAGCTAGTACACAGTCACCAACTCAGACACAAAGCAATATGCCTAAAAATGAAATGAAATTTCATGGAACAATACTTATTTTCATATTTTATGATAAAGTCTAAGCATAAAGGTAATATAAAATGTGTTGTCATGAAATAATTGAGTACAAAACAGGAAAAGTTCCCAAGTGGACAACACGAAGACAAAAATCAGCAAAGTTTTATTTCATTCATCAAGTGTGCTTACCTCTGGATAGCTCCACAGACGGTGCTGCTCACGCATCTCGTGCACTGGTGGGCCAGTTTCTTGTTAACGTTTTTAAGTGGGCCAAGGGTGAAAATTCTTGGCTTTCAAAAAAACATGGTTTCTTTTTAGTCCTCATAATAATAATGATACATGTTTTATGTCTCACAGTTGAAATTCTTTATCGTTTCTCTGAAATGATGACAGCCTTATCATTTTTTAAAGAATAAAGGAGAAACGGGTGCATTCCCTTCTTTGTCCACCAAGTACAACTCAAGAGCTTTGAAAAGTCGGATGACCTTTTATGTAAACATTCTCTAATATTCAACATTTCTCTTCTGGAAGATAATGATGAGAAGGTTAAGACCATGAGGTTGCAATAATCTCTCTAATTTCATTTAAACTCTCTTTATTGAAAAAATTCTGTTCAGCATGTTACAAGAATGTTTGGAACAGATAGTTACAAGGTGATTCTTTTTAAATATTTGTTTTTGCCTTAAAAATAATCTTTAGGAACATTTTGATGTGTTTGTCATATTGAAATATATAATTTCCCTCCTATAGTCCTAAATTTGACTTAAGAAATAGTTAAGTATTCATTTCTGTTATACTTAGATACTGATTTTGAAAATATTTGCCAAATGAGATCTGGCTTCAATTAAAAAAAATATAAATTCCATTCCAAAGCTCATGCGCCTTGCTTAGTGTATTCCGTTGCAACAGCAAAACAAATGGGTATGACCCAGTAAGTGGGTGTTTACTTCTAGTCTCTGAATAAAATATTTTAAAAAGTATGCTCTTTAGTGAGCTTTATGTAGTGCAAATGACAGCTTTCACTGTTTTCCATTACAATTGACCTCCCCCCCATCCCATGGGGGATATGTGCCAAGACCCCCAGTGAATGCCTGAAACCATGGATATACCGAACACTATGTATACTTTGTATTTCCTTTTACATACATATACACATACCTATGATGAAGTTTAATGTCTAAATTAGGCACAGCAAGAGATTAACAACTGATAATAAAATAGAACAATTATAACAGTGTACAGTAACAAAAGTAATGTGAATGTCGTCTCTCTCTCAAAATATCTTCTTGTCCTGTGCTCACCCTTGTGATGAAATGAGCTGATAAAATGCCTACGTGATGAGATCAACTGAGGGGAATGATGTAGACACGTGACAGAGAATTAGGGCACTATTGACTTTCTGATGATAAATCAGGAGGATCATCTGCTTCCTAATTGAACCCACAGAAAATCAAACTGCAGATAAGGGGGGGCCAACGGTAGGTTCATGTGCAAGGGTAGATTTCTTTGGATGCCAAAACCTCATGAGAGAGAAAATACAGTGATTGCCAAATATCGCTCTGGGTATCATTTAATTTTTTAACAATTGCACTGTGTCTCCTGCTCTATCCTTTACAGGTTTTCTCTCTGTATTGACTACGAGTGTATTTTCCCAATTCTATAAATGTATCTAATTCAGGTGTGTATGAAGTTAAATTTACACACTACAACAAGTCCTCCACAGAGAGGGTTGTAAACTGAGAGAGTGGCACAACTTGTGGGGAAAGTGCTCTTATCAAATTGGATCTTAAAAATCTATATCAGCTTCTCAGTGTGTAGTAAGCATTACTACTAAATGCCACACAGTTGTAAAGATTTGAAGAGATACTATGTTATCACTGAGAGGGATATTTTTAAGCTTATCATCAAATTTATCTCACCCTGTTCACAAAATATCTCAGCATGCTGGAAGAATACATTTTTCAGCAGCGGAGTCAGCCATTTTCTCCTTTGCCAATGACATGTGACTGGATGAAGGGATGAGCCATTCTAATCAATAGTTACGGAATGACTGACAGATTTGGCCAATGGCTTGATCTTTTTTTTTTTTTTCTTGAACAATTTGAGGAGCTTATGGAAAAGTTAAGTGTCCTGGGTTTACAAGTATCTTTTTAATTTGAAGTTTTAACGTTTTGTTTATGACTGTCATTAGACATTACAGCTTTGCCATTTTCACTGGGTGTTACACATTTATGAAACCATATAAAGTATTGCACGGTCTTTTAATTTTTTTTAAATTTTTTATTGTTGTGTTAATCGCCATACATTACATCATTAGTTTTTGATGTAGTATTCCATGATTCATTGTTTGTGTATAACACTCAGTGCTCCATGCAGAACGTGCCCTCTTTAATACCCATCACCAGGCTAACCCATCCCCCCACCGTCCTCCCCTCTAGAACCCTCAGTTTGTTTTTCAGAGTCCATTGTCTCTCATGGTTCGTCTCCCCCTCTGATTTCCCCCCCTTCATTCTTCCGGTCTTTTTTTTTTTTTAAAGATTTTATTTATTTATTTGACAGAGAGAGAGACAGCGAGAGAAGGAACACAAGCAGGGGGAGTGGGAGAGGGAGAAGAAGGCTTCCCATTGAGCAGGGAGCCCCACGCAGTACTTGATCCCAGGACCCTGGGATTATGACCTGAGTCGAAGGCAGATGCTTAACGACTGACCCATCCAGGCATCCCTGCATGGCCTTTTTTTTTTTGTTAGAACGCATTCAGATGAAGCCAACGTGTGCTGACTTAGAGTTAATGTTTTTCTCTCTATTGTCATTATTTACACTGAGAGATGTAGCATTTGTATTTGAACATGCCCCTCATTTCTCATCTCATTCTTATAAAAATAATGTGACCCATTTTAAAAGTGGTTTTTTACATTAAATTTAATGAAAATGTTACAGTTGTCATGTGGTAAAAAAAAATTGCAAATACTGATGTCCTTTCCAAAAAACATGATGAGAATTCTTACCCAAAACTTGGTTGAAACTTTTCCTTAAAGTAAATACCATTCTCCTGTACTTCATGTTTAACTGCAGAAATGTGTGTACCTATACAATAAAATGACACATTATGGTGTTATCATTCTGTTAGGATATTATTAAAATGACTATCAGATACCAGAAAATTTAATCAGACACAATGATCAAAAAATTGAGTCTTCCATTGTCATTTAATGTCACTGGATATAATCATCATACAAATTGCTACTGGTCATCGTATTTGTTGAACTATAAAAGGAAGCATGCACTGTAATTTTCATTTTTGGTTAGTGTTATTTGATCTATTTATTTGAAAAAAATCATGGTTGATATTCAGTATATTAATTTAATTTTATTTTTTTTAAATTTTTTAAAAAGACTTTATGTATTAGAGAGGGAGCACAAGCAGGGAGAGCGGCAGACAGAGGGAGAGGGAGAAGCAGACTTCCTGCTGAGCAGGGAGCCTAATGTAGGACTTGATCCCAGGACCCTGGGATCATGACCTGAGCTGAAGGCAGATGCTTAACCAACTGAGCCACCCAGGCACCCCGTATTTTGATTTCATTATTTCCTAGTTAGTTGCAACTTGCAGTTTGAAAAACATTGCCCTAGCAACACTGAGTCATCTGCTTTGGGAGGGTAAGAATAAGGACCTACTGTGGGCAGTGATGACCCAGAATAATGCAGAGGAAATAAGTGTGTAGCCTGCCCTACCACCACTTACCCAAGCCTACCCGTCATGGTGTGCCTGCCTATCCTGGTCCAGGGTTTGCTCTTCTTCTCAGGGGAGAAGCTTGGTGGAAGAAATGGACCTACATCATGGGTAGGTGAAACCCATTCTATATTAAACAACCTAAGCTTTCAATTAAAAACATGACTAAGAAGTCAGGGATCATAAGAAATTTGAGGAAAAAAGCCCAAATGGTATGTCCAGACAGAGTCATTTTTATTCAACCTCCTCAGCATGGACCAAGCTTCCTGATCTGGCGAGCCATGTTTTTATTTGGTTTTGTTGTGTTTTCGTTCATTATTTCCTTATTCCTTCTCTTCTCTATCTCTTTCTTCTCTTTTTGGAGCTTCTTTTAGATGAATGCTGAATAATCCTCTATGCCTACTATGAATAAAGAGCAGAACTCTTCTCCTGAATCTCATTTCTCATGTCATCTGTGTGTGTGTGTGTGTGTGCTTTTTTTAAAGGAAACCTTGTATGTATGGAATGAACCTAAATGGTGCATTAAAGGAATTTCTTTGCCTGAGAAAAAGTTGTCAACCTGTGAAACAGTTGACTTTTGGCTGAAAGTGGGAGCAGGAGTGGGAGCATTCACAGCGGTTTTGCTGGTGGCTCTAACTTGCTACTTCTGGAAAAAAAATCAGAAGTAAGTAATCTCATTGGAGTGACCATGTAAAAACTGAAGGATCTCTTTTGTTGTGAAAATTTTAGACCTAATTATTATTACATCCTATAGTTTTTCTCAGAGAGACAAGAAACTGTTCCTATGAAGGAGTTAGAGGAAAGACCTTTAAGAAAGGAAACAGAAATGATTATTATTCTGCTAATAGATGATAGAATGTTAGAGGTGATTGCATTAGACCCATTTGTTACAAAATAGAGAAAAATGGAGGCTCTGGGTGCAGAGGTGAATGGGAGCAGAGCTGAGATCAGAGGTCAGGTTTTCTCTCTCTGCATCTATTTTTCTTTTCATGACAACATTGTGTCTTCTTGCCCCAATGTTTATTTTTCAGTTTCTTGTGAAACAGACTAAGTATATAGGCAAATATGATCTTTATTTACTCAGGACCTCAGGAATCTAAGGTTGAATATTGAGTCTATTTCCTGAATATATATTGTTCTGTTATGAGATTTGATTCTTCTAAAATAATTTATATATCAGCAGAGCTCTGAAACTTCTATATTGTAATATCTCAAGGCCATTATAATATCCAAGGTGGTGAATAGGAAGGAATGAGTTATATACAGAAACAAGAAAGACCAGGTCACTTACCTATGTGGTAGTCTCATCCTTATGAACTAAACTATGGAAAATCATATAGTGCCTGAGCTTCCAAATATTTGTATATTAAGAAAATGCATTCAGACTTCAAGATTTCTCTTTGTTTTTCAAAAGTTCCTCATAATTGGACCATTTAGTCAATGTAAAATAACTGATAAGAGTTAACTATACTGCCACGATTCTCTGAAATCCTGGAAAAAATCTGTGTGTCGATGGTAGATAAATGAGAACACATGGTGCTTTGGCTATAGGTCAGGGACATTGGCTAGAAGAGCAACTAACTATACTACAAGAGCATTTAACGAGCTGATGTACGACCACCTAAAGTTAGTATTAATTTGTGCTAAACAGCCACTTTATTTATTTACCACCACTTAGACTGGAGTACAAATATTCCAAATTAGTGATGACAACTAACTCAAAAGAGTGTGAACTCCCAGCTGCAGACAGTTGTGCTCTCATGGAAGGAGAAGACAATGAGGAAGAAGTTGTGTATTCCAATAAACAGTCACTACTGGGAAAACTTAAATCCTTGGCAACAAAGGTGAGAGCAGAATTTTAACCTGGTATTACTGTGCTTTTATTAACGAGGGGCCATAGTAAACTAATAGTAGCTTTCATGCAACCCTGTCATTCAGTCTGTCTCTCTCTCCATGGGTATTTATCCAACAGAAATACTCTTACAAGTACACAAGGATATTGGAGAGCGTATGTGTTGTGGTGAGTGCTATGTATTGTGTAAGACTGTTGAATCACAGACCTGTACCCCTGAAACATAATACGTTATATGTTAATAATAAAAAGAGAAAAAAAAAGTGCACAAGGATATAAATATAAGAATATTCACCACAGCATTGTTTCCGCCCACCCCCCTCTGGTGAACAGAGTAGAAACAACCTTACACACCATGAAGAAGGAGTAGATAAGAAGTTTCCATATATCAAAGTAATGGAATCCTGTGCAACTATGCAGCTATTAGAAACGGACATATGTATGTCCATAGGTCCAAGATAAGTAAAGTAAAAACAACACACAGACTATTACATCTATTAAACGTACATTTATGTCAGTCTTTGCAAAGCAGACTATGAACAATGGCTGCTTTGGGGGAGTCTTGAACCAATGGGAGTCTTTAGTTTTTGAAGTAGTACATTTTTATAATATTTGAATTTTCACAAAGATAATGTGTTGTTTTTAATATTAAAAATTTTAGGTTAAAAAAGATCTCATTCACTCATTCTTTTTTGTTTTTTTATTTGTAACATGGTTTTTTTCATATAGAAAAAGTAAAATTATATAAGCTGTTGAGGTATTAAAGGTACCTTATCAGATGCCATCACATTTGTCAGCTTTGAAATGATTACGGTATCCAAACAAATATTATTTGTAAACACATTTTATTGACATTCTTCATCACTGACTTAAAATATGAGAAATTACCAGTGTACCTACACTCAGCATTAAAAATAGAATGAAACAGAAGAATGTGTTTCAAATGATTTTCAGCAGGAGGGACAAGTGACAAAAGATTACATTTACTGAGAATGTTTTAGTAACTATTTCCTTTTGTTCTTCCAATTTAAGCACATAAATATATTATAAGGGATCATTTAAAAACAAAAGGAATAAGCCATATTCCCCTTCTAATGGTTATTTAACGGTTTTATTTTTTTTCACTGCGGTACTTTAGGAAGGATGTTTTTGTTATGGAATAACAAATGTATAGTTAGTGTCAAGAACTGAGATTTCACCCGACTTGCAAGATAACAACTGAACCTGCCACTGGTTCATGGACAATTTAGGAGACACAAGACTCCCGCTCAGAGACAAGGCACAGCTCAGTGCTCACAGCAGATGCACTAGCCAGGGTATTAGCATTCATACCAGTTCCCCAAACCCCCCTTTCCTCAGGGTTCTGTGGACAGGAACAGATGACATTTGCACACTCAGTGGCTTGCATTACAGGAAAGGAACTCTAAGCTTTGGGAACCTGACTGTTTTAGAATGGGCAGGAATCATGCCAATGCTTTCCTCCAAAGAGAGGTATTACTGTTATTGTACTAGACAGGTAGTGTGTGTGTTCATTGCTTCACAGGGAGACACCATTTCTTGCCATTTGTTCTGGAAAAATACAATTCCTTAAGCTTCCAAGGCTGCTTTCTATACAAAAATCCTTAAAAAGATAATCTTGAACAAAGGGAAATCACTGTCTTGCTTATAAGATCTACAAAAATGCAAAGGAACCACAGAGAATTATCTCCCCAAAATATCCAAACCTCATTTCTACACCATCTTGGCTTCTGGTGAATTTTCCCACTAGTATAGCATGCTATCCACCCCTCTTTTTGATTTGTTTGACTGAGGCTGGGTTCAAATCTGGCCAATTTACAGCATATGTCACTTAAATAAAGCTACTACCATTAGGACCCCAAACAGCAAGATGAGGTGAACCTGCATTATTAACTTCAAACGACTCCCCAGGGTCCCAGATCCAACTAACTGAATAAATCCCATAAACCATAAGGGTCCACCTTAAAAAGCTAGACAGCTTTAAGTCCCAGTATTGACTTTTCTACTCAGCTTGAGACCTTTCCACTGGCACTGAGATCTTTCCTCCATAAGATTCATGTGGAAGAAGGTCAAAGATATTTTCAGAAATTTGCAGAACCCAATATATCTCCCACTTTTGTCTATGTGGCCATGGTAGGGGAACTTGGTGAGCAGTATACTCAACCAGGTGGTCCCTGTCTTTTGATCTAGGATGATGGCATTCCAGATACCCAAGATAGATGAGTGCCTCCACAGACTTTGTCTTGACCCTCAAGGGTGAAGTTGAGGGCAATTATATCATCCATAATGATGTTTGAACCATGAGTTGAGGTTGACCTAAATGTCATAAGAGGCTGAGGTGGTGTCATGCCATTCTCTAGCTAAAGTCAGAGACAAATTTTTCACCATTTTTTAATTGAATAACTGCCTATAGGGTGAATATGAATAGCATCAGTTATCCCTTTAGAAACCTCTGAATAACCAACAGTAGTCTCATTTTGAAAATCCTTGCAGTTGTCTAAAGGTTAATGATATTTTGGGGCTGTTTCCATAAATAGTTGAATTATGACCACTTACAACTGCTCCTAGGGTATAAATATAAGCCACTATGTTTTTAGGAGAGAAGTTAATGCCTGGCTTCTACACAAGAAGTACAGTCCTGAAGATACATAGGATGTCTTTGGAAAGAAAGTATTATAGACAATTGTTGGAGACACCAAGTGGGACCTACATTAATTAGGCAATACAGGCTGATGGTGCCTGCAACCTCCTTGTGGCTAGTAAACCTTAGGGTTCCCAATTCACGTCACATAATTGTGTCTCTTCTTTGTCTTTGAGAGACTGCTTAAGGGCACTCAGTCCAACTTTTCCTGTTGGTCCATGCTGTAAACTGGATGGTGCTTTTTCACTCCATGGAATGACTGAGCAATGGCAATGGGAATGTTGGTGTTGATGTTGTTATTTGGGGCAGAAGCTAGAGCCATTCCCTGCTGTTTATTACAGATTTCTCAGTAAGTTTAAAGGGACTTACTTAAGGTTAGAACCTCTGGTGGGTATGGTGGACCTAGTAGTCAATTAAATTTTAGGTACTTGGCAACCATTTGAGAGGGGAACACTAATGCATTATCCTTCATAGGTGACGGGGTGGCTCTGAAAAACAAATTATCATTAATATCCCTCCATCCTTCATATCTCTCAGGGTCTAAGGTATCTTCTCTCCAGGCACCTCATTACCAGGCTGCATTATTGATCTTCTTCCACTGCCACAAAATCAGTTTTTCCCATTGCAGCTAAAACTTCATCTTATTTCTACTTATCCCCTTACTGACACCTAGACCTATGCACCAGAACATTCAAGTGCAAGAGGGAGAAAGGCATTTAAAAAAATTTATGATGGAGACCAAATATGTCATCCTTTGGGTTGCTTTTGAGTAAAAAGGACACATCATGTCCATGAGTGGTCAGGGTAGAATCCTGGATTTTTACATAAGTGTCTGTAACCATATATAAGTACATATAACCTTAACCTTCTTACTGATAATTATGCATGACACAGCCAAGAGGAGATGATCCCTTTCTGGGGACAACCATGTTTAGTAACTGAACGACATTATTAAATGTGTGGACCAGGAGGAGGTAGGGTGGAGATAGAGTCAGAAATCTCTTTGATTCATTTTTGAGAAGGCCCTTGTCATGCTCAATGGTACCTTTCAACAGTATGAAGTATTGAAGGTCCACTGAACACCTCTACTCTCAGCCCATTTTCAGGTAGCTTTTGTGATATAAAGAGTACCATTGTTGGACTGCAAAAGATCCATAAAGTCACAAACATGAAACGCATTTTCTTCAAGGGTCATAGTAGTGTGGCTAGAGTTAGCGGATCTGACTGGAACAGCAACAGCATAACATGAACAGGTGTCAAAGGGTAAGGCACTACTGATAGCCCAAAGAAGTGATCAGAGGTGTGACCTCATCACTTTGCCATGGAAAAACTTGTCAGCTCTTGGCATGAATCCCAAGTCTTGCATGCTTGGTAACCTCTGCATCTGAAAAAGAATCCTTTACTTTGTGCCCAGTGTGTGATGGTGGATTCATTGCTATGGTAGGCAGAATGATGGGTCCATGCAGCATTTATGTCAGTCTGTCTGATGGAATCTCTATTGTGTGCTTAATTCTCTTTGATCTTTTCAGACCATGGGTCCTTAATGGAAGTATCTACATAAGTGACCCAGATTATTTGATCAGCTGAGATTTGTTTCTGGAATTTGTTGCCCCAGAGAGAAGTAACTTTGATGTGTCAGTCTATAGTTTTCCAAGTGGCAGACCAAATAGTTTGACTCCTGCCAATTCCTCAAGAGTTAGTGGTGATCTAATAAGGTTTATCAAGGCCACAGCTATGAGAATGGCTTTGGGTTCTGCCCACTAAGCCAAGCAATTTTGTAGGTTTTTAGTTATGCATACCTGGTGCTGAGATAGGACAGCTACCGCAGCTGGTGGATACCCATTGGGTTTCAACTCCACCAAACCATCAGTGAACCAGGCCCAGGCATGAGGTAGAACTTAGATGAACCAAGGACTGGAGCCAGTGGCTTCATTTTTGGTGGTGGGGTAAGGGATAAAGTTTCCCCAAAAGGGTATTCTGCCATTTTTTCATGTGAGGTTGAGATGCTGCTGGGCAGGACCAGATGCATTCTTGAATATATCATTTGTATTTGACCAGTGAGGCTTATTAGGTCTTTGCCACCTTGCTGACCCACCATGAATGTGACTGTCAGGCTGTAGAATCACAAGATGTGCATGGGAATGGCTTTCAGTTTTGACAAGAACTCAATAATAAGCTAATATCTGCTTTTCAGAAGAGCCCTACCTGGTAGCCATATCAAGGTGATGAGTCTAAAATCCCAAAAGGTGCCTCTGGGAGAAGGCTCCTTCCCATTGCTGAAGTCTCTAATTGGCAGAATCATTAGTCACGGAGAATTCTATCACAAAGTGGTC